TGGAGAACAGTATTGAACATACTGTGCACTTCTAAGAGAACAATTATGTCCTGGAGAGGGTGAGACTTGCAGCTCCTTTAAGGCAAAGATTGTGAAGCTGCACTTCACATACTTTGGGCATGTGGTCAGGAGGGACCAGTTTTTGGAGAACAACATCTTACTTGGAAGGTGGAAGGACAGCACAATACAGGACGACCCTGCATGGGATGGACTCAGTAACTGAGGTAATGGGGGTAGGTGTGTTTGAGACAGTGAAATTGACTCAGGATACGGCAGGATGTAGAGGTTGTATATAAGGTCTTTATGAGTTGCAGGTGACTTTAGGGCACATAACAACAACAACAACAGGATTTGATACTCTTGTACACATTCCTATTTACTGAAAATGTTTTATGTTCTTTCTCATATTTTCTACATTTTCCAACTGTTTAAAAATATCTCAATGAAATTCTTTCCTCACCTCTCAAATATTTTAAGATATTAGTTCCTATCACTCAAATGCTCACATTTAGTTTTCCAATGTCTTGGTGATCTAGTGGCAAAAAACTGTGCTGCAATCCTGAAGGTTTGTGATTCCAGACTGCCAACACCTCTGTGGGAGAAGAATGGCTTATCTCTTCCCACAATATTAACTGATGTTCAAACCCCACCAGAGGATCAGGTACGGGTCAACTCCATCTCTACAGTACATAACAACAAAAATATGGAGCTGGCCTATATACTAGAGAGTTACCCTTTTTTTATTATATCTTTTTTTGTAAAGTATGTCTTTAGGAAATTATGTTTCATAAAAATTCAGTGTAATTCAGGAGCATCCCACAAAATTCTCAAATAAACCAAATAAGTGTCTTAAGAAAACAGTATGATAATGAATTTTATGCCTCAAATAAACTGATGCTTCTGAATTGTGGTGTTGTTAAATAATATGTACCGTACCAAGTACTGCCAAAAGAACAAACAAATCTGACTTGGAGGGACAGTAATCTGGGTGCTTTGTCTCTAATTCTTTCATCATATTAACCAGAGAAGCCAGTGTTTCTATTATTTATTTTGTTAAGATTAATAGTAGACTATTTATAAAAGCTCTCAGATAAACATAGTCCCAACTGATTCACCAGATGAATTTCTCCAAAATGTCTAACTTTGACGTTTCTGTCCATGGCTCATTTCCCAATTCCTCTATGGCTTTTGGGTTCAGTGATTTACTAGAAGGTTTTCCAGAGACTGAGACTCATTAGGAGAATGATTCATGTAACTGTAGATATGCAGGTCATTTTGAGTTTTAATTTGTTTTTTAGAAACTGGTGTGCAATGCAGCTGGATATTTCATTCACTCTACACTGTAGAATGTGTAAAGACACAAACTCAGTGTGGCAGTGTGACTGTGTTGACTTAGTCCAAGTCTGCTGGAGGATGAGAAGTTGTCTGGATTGAGAAATCATATAAGGTGAACAAGGAGAACTGGTTATGTTAAATAACTTTAAGAATATTTTTCTAATACTGGAATTTTATTGTGTATATCCTGCTGACTGGAAGCAGGAGCGGCATCCTTTTCTGAAATGGCTTGCCTCCAGAAGTTCTATGTACGAACAGTGCTCAGGCCGTTTATTCATCGGGTCGCTCTGAGTCGTCTAGGACTCGACGGCACCAAACAACAACAACAACAACAACAACATATCTTGCTGAAGATTCTCAAAGTGCCTGGAATACTGCATCAACAAAGAACTGCTAGAAATACAGGTCAGATTTAGAAGCGGTTATGGCATCAGAGATATTATCACCAACATCAGATGTATCTTGACTGAAACAAAGAGTATCAGAGGGATGTCTGCTTGTGTTTCATTGATTTTCAGAAGCTACTTGACTGTGTGGATCACAACAAATTGTGTCTAACCTTGAGAAAAATAGGAATCCCAGAATGCTTGATGGTGGTCTTGGAAAACCCAAATTTAGACTAGGCAGCAGTCATCAAAATAAAGGTAAGGAAACACTGTATGGTTCAAAATCAGGAAAGGAGTGCATGAGGAATGCATCTTGTCTCTCCACCTTTTCAGTCTATATGCAGACCTTGGGAAACTGGACTTTATGAGGAGGAACGTAGAATCAGGATTCAAGAAAGACTCATCAACAATCTACATTATGCAGATGACATAACCTTACTTGCTGTAATGAGGTGGACCTAAAGCCATGTTCTGCAGAAGGTAAGGGACTACAACCTTTAATATGGATTGAAGCTCAACATAAAAAAGACAAAAATTATCACCACTGGACCAATTGGCAGCTCCATGACGGATGGAGAAGAGATTGAAGTTGTTTATAATTAAAGCTTGCTCAGCTCCACAAACAACACTCTTGATACCAGCAGTCAAGAAATCAAAAGATTAATTGCTCTGGAGAAGGCTGCTCTCAGGTACCTTCCAAAAGTGCTGAAGATCAAGGGCCTCAATCTGGAGACTAAGATATGCCTTATTCAGACCATTGTCTTCGCAATTAATTGCTGTGCATCAGAAAGCTGAACAAATACCAAAGATAACAGAAGAATTATTGATACCTTTGAGCTGTGGTGCTGAAAGGATAGTACTGAATACATCATGTACTGCCAAGAGAACACACAAGTTTATCTTGGAGAAGGTGAAACCAGGATGCTTCTTGGAGGCAAAGATTTTGAAGCTCTGTCTCACAAACATTTGTGCCTGTGGCCAGGAAGGAAAAGTTCCTAGAAAATGACATCATGTTTTCAAGGGTGAAGGGATAGTGCCCTAGAGGAAAGGCTTAAATGAGATGAATTTACACAGTAACTAGGGTAATGGGGTGGGGGGGTGAAGGGGTAGATGTGCTGGAGACATTGAGACTGGCTCGGGATAGAGCAAAGTTTAGAGCTATTGTTCATAGGAACATTATGAGACACAAGCAGCTCAATGGCATGTAACAACAATATCATCATTACTTCCAAAGTCTTTCATGTCTCTAAAATAAGATTTTAAAATGTAACATCTTACTATAGATTGAATAGTGCTGCCACCTACAAATATAAGATATGTTGACTTAGGCCATATTTCTCAACATTATGTAATTGTTTTCCACTTTTTCATCTAATGTAATTATCCTATGTGTTGTACATCCTGACTTATAAGATGCTAATGAGATAGAATTAGTAGCAGTTATGCTGAGTTAGTATGTAATCTTCTAGATTAGTTGCATCTCAAGTCAATTACTTTTTCATAGTAATATGTGCTGAATATGTACATATTGATAATAATTTTCATAAATAGATCTTTTTATTAACCAAAGATATCAAGTGCCATAATGACGTGTTATCATTAATGCTTTATAGATTATGAAGAAATCCTAAATCGACATCATTTAGTTAGGGAGCTAAGAACGGTAGCTAGGCCTTTTTGTCCTCTATTTTACAAATTAAAGCATCAATCTTCTGTCATGAAATGAGAAGGAAAGGGAGTGATTTTAGAGAGAGAATAAAAAGGAAAAAATGATCTTTAACAAGTAAATGGCATTGTTTCTGATATTACTAAATCTAATTTTGTTAATAACTTGAAAAATCAAAACTGTTGTTGTCAATTCTTATTGAGGTAAACTGTCCAAAAAGAATGGAAGTTTTATTGTCTCCTCTTTGTGGTCTTTTTTGCATAAACTAATACGAGGAGTGGCATCCACTTGCATAATAGCTTGCCTCCAGAAACCATATGAACCTGGAGAGAGGATGAAAGGCCCCCAAGCGTTGAGGACTCTCCTTCATAGGGTCTCTATGAGTAGCCTGCGACTCGATGGCACTTATAACACAGTAGGAGAAGAATTGGCAAAGGAGAAATATGACTGTAGCTTCACATTCCTAGTGTGCCAGTGTAGTAAGAGTTGGAAGCAGTTCCACAGAGACAGAAATCTGAAGACTATAAACCTTGGATGCCTTTTGAATGTGTTCTAGAATTTACCCCTATGACAAAATTCTCAGCCAGGAAATAGACATGTCTCTAAGGTGACAATAGCACCAGGGTGGTACTCAGTCCTTTGAATAATCAACCACAATCCAAAGATAACACTGGTCCAAGGATAAAACTCCAAAGATAAGAAAGAGAGGATAACAGAGATTTGGGAACAATGGTAAAAAAAGATGAGGTTTGTAATCAATTCCATAAAAATGTGCATTAATGGTGAATAGAATACCAATCTGCTCTATAAACCTTATTTCAAATAAAAAATATTAAGGTAAGTAAAAGAATTTTTAATTGAGAGACAACCATTTAAACCATAAATAGTACTCATGAGCTATCATTTTGTTCAAAACACAATATGCGTAATTCTATAAAAAATAAACTACATCTGCTTAAAGTAATTAAGAGTTATTAGAATAGTTAAGAATTACCATTGCTCAGTGGTTAATGATGAAGATGTTGAAACATAATGAATCTCTCAGAGCTGACACATCCACTAACATTTCTACTGACAAGAGACGCAGGCTTAATGAACAAGAGGTACAGTTAGAGATTGGGTTTATTTTTTGTATTTATAAACGTTTCTTTTTATTTTTCTGAAATTTAAAAGGTCAGTAGTCAGTTCTTAGGTTCAGCCTGTATTTAGCTCATCTTTTATTATTTGTTTCTACACTTCTTACAAACCAAAATGAGCACACAGGAACACAAAACAAACAAAAGAAGTAGCAAAAACAGTGACAGGAGATTTGGTATGGTCTTCATTTTTTCTCCTTGTCTCTCAATGAGTGGACTGCTGTCGAGACTACCTCCACTACCTTTTGTCAGGCAGTGTGGCGGGGCCCAGGCATAACCACAATGGCAATGACCTTTATTGTTGCAGACTCCTCTCTTTCCACATGTATTGGGTGAACAAGAACTTTTCAGGAGAGATATACTGACACATTTTCTATGGATGCAGATACGATTTGGTCCACACTCTGTACCATCTTTCACTTCACCAATATCGGGTATATTCAGCCCCAAATTAATGTCTATGCCCCAGCAGGTGACATCATTGAGGTGAGTCACCTGCACAGTAGTGTGCTCTCGCAGTAGAGGAATTAGTCTCACATTCTCACACTGAACTCTGCCACACATGATATCAGAGATATTGCATTTTGCATATGTAGAAGCATTCCTACCACAATGACCAAACCTATCACCCTGGATGTTCATTTCTTCGTAACATCTCTTATTTGCACTTTTTGCATCTTTCCCGAATATCTGCCTACACTGTTCATCACGGTTATTACATCTCTTTTCAAAGCAGTAGCCCCCTCCTGCACATGGTATTCCATTCTGTACATATACATCTTCTGGGCACTGATGGGATGTTCCATTGCACCATTCTGTAAGGTCACATTCACTGATCTGTTGTCTACACACTTGTCCTGATGGCATGATCTTACAGTCTTTACAACAAAGCCCAAAAGCACACATGGCTCCAAGTCTCAGAGTGCAATTTGATTGACAACAGGGATCTTTTGTACAGTTATCTAAGGAACCACAGTCACACTCCTCTCCCTCTTCAACTACACCATTCCCACAGTACTTCCAGATCAAGGTGTCCCCTGGATTTGGTGTGCTGAGCAAACACATCTTTTTTGTTATCACTCTCTTCAAATCAGCATAACTACAGTTGCTGAATTTTGTTGTAGTTATTCCTGTTGCAGACATTATGCATCTTTTTCTGCCACATGTACACCATTCACCATCTATAGCTAAACCCAAAGAGTGACCAATATTATGAGATACAATAAATGCAAAAGAGTTCAAATCATCACTTGTGAAACTCGAAACTGCACAGTTATATGAGTGGCTACATGCTCCATTAATAAAAGAATAATCAATATAAAGACCATGACCTTTCTTTGTAAAAAGATTTGCAATATCATGGTGCACACGAGAATTAAAAAACTTTTTCTTCCATTTGCAAAAATCATCTAGCATCTTAGATGAGCTAATAAGGGGAAATGGATTTTCTTTATTCCAGATTTCAATTGCTAACAAAGTCATTTCTACACCCAGTTGACTGTAAATTGAATCAACCCTATGGATAGTATTGCAAACAGTCTCCTGCAATTTTGAGATATTACTCTTTTGATGAAGGAAAAGATCATAGTCTATTATTACTGCGAGTTCAACATACCACTTATAGGTCCACCAGAACTCCTTGATGCTTTGCTTTAGAGTGTAATTTCCTTTCTCTTCAAATGTCAATTGTCTTGCAATTTCCACTTCCATTAAGCCACATCTCTGCATTTGGGATTGTGTCTTCTCACTGTTCACCTTATATATCATGTGTTCAAATGTGTGTGAAAGTCTTTTGGGCTTAATTTCATAAATGATGTCACTTACCTGTAGCATTCCTCTAAAACCCCGAAGACAAGTACTGAGAGAAACCAGTGATTCTGGTTCTCCTTCTACATAACCATTATAATAGCAGTCATTCTGGACAAAAAGGTAGTCTTCGAAGAGAGCACCCTGGTCTGAGTAGGTGAAGATAGGCAAGTATCTGGGCATCAAAAGTTTCCTGGCTTTTATGTGAATTATGTGTCTCCGACCCCCAAAGTTCAACATGTAGGAAAGCCAACCTTGTGCCTTCATGTGTTTTCCAGTTCCAGTTAATCTCAAAGGAGTAACCACTTCTGAGGGACTCTGATACTGGGAATAACAAAGTTGAAATAATACAGAAAGGACCAAAAACACCCTAGCTCCAAGCAGTTGGAGAGTGATTCTCAAATGTACCAGGTCTTCACCCTTAACCATTATGGATCCACTGTTAAGAAGCCATTGATGGGAGCAGAAGAAGGCAGGCAGAAGGCTCTTGCTGATTATTAGCTTGTTGAAGCAGGCCTTTAAAATCTTACTTCTGGCACAATTGAACCATCACAGTTGCAACACTAAAATAAACACACAAAAAAGGTAGTTACTAAGTGTGTGTGTGTGTGTGTGAGAGAGAGAGAGAGAGAGAGAGAGAGAAAGTGTTGTGAGAGAAAAGGAGAAAATTCTAGACTAGAAAGAACAGTATTTGGCTCAAAAGTGGATTAATATAGTCTCTTTCATTTGCTAATCAATATTCATAAAACAGAAAAAGATTGTGGGTAAACAAATACCACAGCTGATTGCTACAGGAAAATTAAATCACTAAACCTAAATGACAGTTTTGTTTGAACACATAACATTCAGTTCTAAATATATGAGTATGTGTAAACACTTCAAGAAAAACAGTTAAAACAAGATTATCATAAAGGGAGAAATAAACATGTATCTTGATTTCCTGAGGCAATATGGGTTTATATATATTAACTTGTCAAAAATATTAATAGCGCTTTATTTCAAACCCAAATCACAAAAATAACAAATTATTGGGTCACATTACCCAGGATATGCCTAAGGAAACAAGGATTTTTCAAAATATGGCTGTGTAAAAGGGAGAGAAAAAGAAAGTAACTAGGGTAGTAATTATTGATGTTTGGAGAACTTAGAAAAAAGTACTTTCAGAAGCAAAAGAGAAATAATGATACTTGAAAGGAAAGGAAACTCTTTGGTGAAGATTACTGTTGTTTTGAGTTGCCATGAAGTTATCCCTTGTCTCATGATGACCCTATACGTTGCAGAGTAGAAGTGCTCCAAAGTATTTTCTTGATTGTAAGGAGCTCCACTGGTTTAGCTGTAAGGAGTTGCACTGCTAAACCAAAGGCATAAGGTTTGAGTACACCAGCTTCTCCATGAAGAAATATGGGCAATCTCATACTGTGCAGTTAATTGCCTCTGAAAACTCACTAACAGGACAGCTATGGGTCAATTCCTATGCTACAGGTGTTGATTGCCATCAAGTTGTGCACAAGTCTTAGTGACTCCATGAGCAAAAGACCCGAGGCCTTTCTATAACTATCATTTCTCCAAGTTCATAGAGTTTCCAGAGGCATGTGGTTTAGGAAGTGGATGCCATTCCTGCTTCCAAGCCTTTCTTACCTGTGAACACTACGAAACATTGTCAACTATGTGTAATCATTATGATACTTGACAGACACAATGTTCAGTACCACAGAAATCCAAAGTTACCTCAATATAGAGAAATGATAGAAAAGTGCTGTACCACTTAGGACTGTTCATTTCTAAAACAATTAAATCCAGGTCCAAAAATGAATTTTAAAAGACTGCAGGCCCACACATCAGGCTCTCATTGCTTCCAAACGAGAGGCTTCTAGCCAGCCAAAGATAATCCAGAGCCTGCCACCATCCAACACAGAATGACTCACCTCCAAAGCCATACAAATTTTAAAAGGCTTAAGGCATTCTGAAATTCTGAAGGTATTCTGAAAGGATTCTCATTCTTCTCAATGTCAGCCGTAACTTATTATCACACAGTCATATGCCTTTGGATAATCAATAAGGCACAAATAGACATTCTTCTTGTGTCCCTTACTCTCAGCCAGGGTCCATCTGATGTCAGCAATGGCATCCCTGGTGCCACGACCTCTTCTAAATCCTGCTTGAATTTCTGGCAATTCCCTTTTTATGTACTGTTTCAGGCACTTTTGAATATTCTTCAGCAGTATTTTGCTAGTATGTGATATCAATGATATTGTTAGATAGTTTTCACATTCAGTTGGATCACCCTTCTTGGAAATAGGAACAGATATAGACCTCTTCCAATCCGTTGATCAGTCCTCCAAACTTCCTGGCGTAGACCAACGAGTGTATCCAAGGCTACATCTGTTAATTGAAACAAGTCAGTTGGTATCTCGTTGATTCCTGGGCCCTTAATTTTACCCCCCCATACTTTCAATGGAGTATCCACTTCCTCTTTAATTATCACTGGCTCTGTTCATATGGTACTTCCTGAAATTTTTCAGTGTTAATCAATTCTTTCTGACACAGAGTCTGTATGCATTTCTTCCAACTTCTTTGATGCTTTCTGCATCATTCAATACATTGTCCATAGTATCTTTCAACATTGTGACACGATGCCTAATTTTTTTTTCTTTCAGCTTGAGAAATGAAGAGTGAGTTCTTTCCTTTTTATTCTACAAGTCTAGCTCTCTGCACATTCCATTATAATACTTTGTCCTCCCAAGCTGCCCTTTAAAACTGTCTGTTCAGCTCTTCCACTTCAACATGTTTTCATTTAGATTTGGCTTCCTGACTTTCCAGTGCAATCCTTAGAGTCTGGTTTGGAATTGGGAAGGGAGTGCATCAGGATGTATTCTGACTCTATGCCTGTTAAATCTTTATGCTCAGCAAATTGTCCAAGAATCTGGACTCTATGAAGAGGAGTATCGCAACAGGATTGGAGGGAGACTCATCAAAAACCTGCATTATGCTAATGGCACAACCTTGTTTGTTGACAGTAAAGAGGATTTGAAGCACTTGTTGCAGAATATCAAAGGATGAAGCCTTCAGTATGGATTGTGTGTTAATATCAAGAAAGCCATGATTCTTATCACTGGACTAATAGGCCATGTCAGGATGGATGGAGAGGAGATTAAAACTGTCAGCAGCTTCATATTGCCTGGATCCATAATTAACACCATTGGTACCTATACGTAGAACAGATTCTCCGGGAGGCTGGGCTCTATGAGGAGGAATGTGGGGTCAAGATTGGTGGACGAATTATCAACAATCTGTATTATGCAGATGACACAATCCTGCTTGCTGAAACTGAGGAGGACCTGAAGCGCCTGCTGCAGTGAGTCAAGGACTGTAGCCTCCAATATGGATTGAGGCTCAATGTCAAGAAGATGAAGATTCTCACCACTGGACCAATTGGCAGCATCAAAATGGATGGTGAAGAGATTGAGATTGTACACAGCTTTAGCTTGCTTGGCTCCACAGTCAACACTCTTGGCACCAGTAGCCAGGAAATCAAAAGGTGCATTGCAATGGGAAAGTCTGCTGTTAGGGACCTCTCCAAAGTACTGAAGAGCAATGGTGTCTCTCTGGAGACTAAGGTGTGTTTGATACAAGCCTTCACAATCACTTGTTATGCATCAGAGAGCTGGACAAAGACCAAGGAAGATAGAAGGAGAATTGATGCCTTTGAGCTGTGGTGCTGGAGAAGAGTATTGAGAATACCATGGACTGCTAGGAAAACAATCAGATTCATCCTGGAAAGGGTTAAACCGGGTGGCTCCTTGGAGGCAAGGATTCTGAGGCTCCGTCTAACATATTTTGGACATGTTGTGAGGAGAGACTGGTCCTTGGAGAAGGACATCATGCTTGGGAGGGTGGAGGGACAGCTCAGGAGAGGAAGGCCCTCTATGAGGTGGATTGATTCAGTGACTGGGATAATTGGAATGGGAGTGTCGGAGACAGTGTGATTGACACAGGACAGAGCAGAGTTTAGGGCTGTTGTACATAGGGTCGCTATGAGTCGCAGGCGATTCAATGGCACTTAACAACAACAACCACAACAAGGAGCAATCAGGAAATAAGGAGACAGATTGCAATGGGAAATTCTGCAGTTAGGTATCTTTCCAAATTATTGAGGTGTAGTGATGTTAGTTTGCGGACTAAGGTGAGTCTGATTCAGGCCTTGGTCTTTCTGATTACTAGCTATGCACCAAAGACCTGGAAAATGAATAACGATAACCAAAGATGAACTGACTCCTTTGAAATGTGATATTGGAGAAGAACGCTGAACGTTACATGGATGGCCAAGAAAATGAATAGAGCCAGACTGCTCTTTGGAGGCAAGAATGATGAGACTTCACCCAACATGCTTGGAACATATTGTTAGGAGGTGTTATTCCTTGGGGAAGGACATGATATTGGAAAGGGTGGAGAGTTGGTGAAGGAGAGGAAAACCCTCAGCTTGGTGGATTGACAGGGTGACATCTACAATGGGCTCCTGGGTGTCAGGAAGTGTGGAAACTTACTATTAACAGGAATCACTTATGCTATGCCGACTCTATTTTTAGTTTCAAACTGCATCTATCACTAAAATTCTAAAAAACTTTTACACTAAATTTACTCTAAACCACTGTTTCATTTTTTCATTTACTCTTGCACCAACCTTTGTTAAAAAAAAAAAAAAGCCAATAATTCACTTTTTTTGGTACTGTGAAGTCCAAAGCCTGTTTATACTTTCACATAAAATAAATCCAAACCATAAAGACTTAAAGAGAATTTAAATCTTAACAATCAGTTAAGTATCAATATTCATTAATTTTAATAATTTTAATAGCTGAGGTTTTTATTTATTAGTTTCAAAGACAAAGCAAATCATCACTAGATCATATTTGGGACCAGTTACCTTTTGAAATTACACCTGGAAAAAGACCACGAATGGAATACACACACATTTTTAGATTAAAAAAATTAAAAAATCATTCTTGTCTGCTTCTAGGGTTCTTGCCTGTATCTACATTATGATATAGATATTGCCCACAGAAATCATGAATAACACACTAATGCAATTTCCCTGATGGCATGACAGAAGTGCACATTTTCCTTCCTTCAGGTTCTCTTGGTAGTTGAGATCGATCCATTCTAAATGATATTTTAGCTGAGCGTAAAGTAATATGTCTGGTTTATTGATCAGAAGCTCCTATATTATATGAATTCAGGTCAAGAGTTAGAATGAACTGAGTTCTCTGTTA